AAAAGAAAGAAGGGGAAAGAGAGAAAAAAATTATCTGAGGGGAGGGAACCCTCGGGATTACTTCAGTATATATTTAACCAACCTGCAATTAAAGACGGTATCAGCTTGTATCATTTAGAGCTAATGCAATAATAATGGTAAATTACAGGCCAAAATGGCTTCTGATCGCAGCCTCTGTATTCCCAATAGTGTCCTCGTCGTCGTTGTAATTAATGCTAGGGTGAGCAGTTGGGAAAAGAAAATTTCGAGGAAGGGACATCTTGGTTTTTAAATCGAATAGAAATAGACCACTTTGCACACACCATTGACTCTTGCATTTTGCCATCGAAGTATCGATTTTAAGGCAGAACTGTAAATACACGAAGAGGTGGATTAAAGTCGGGTGGGAAAGGAGCAGGGATTGGGAAAGAGAAAATGGGCAGAAGAGCTGAAGCAAAAGAAAGAAGAAAAGGGGAAAATCATATTTTTAAATATCCAAGTGCCTGAAATATCCATAGCCAATTTGGTAATATCCAATTTGGTAATATCCATTTGGAAATATCCATAGCCAATATCCATAGCCATCCTTTATCCACAGCAAACAGAAATGCTACTTGAGTTTAAAGAATACCTTATAAGCCCAGAAAGGAGACCAAAGGAGACCTGGCTAGTAAGGGAGGGCAAGCCAGGAGAGGGTAGTGTGTTTGGTGCCTCCAAGAGCCTATTTAATATGGACTTTTTCTTTGAATGAAAGATTAATATTTACTCCATAAATGGGAGAGTCAAAAATGGCCAAGTTAATTAGATGGAGAAATTAATTTTGTTTACCTTTGTAGAACTGCAAGCATAAACAGCTCCTAGTCCTGTGTACACACTCCTTCTATATATATGCTAGTGTGTCCTCTGTAATGTGTATCCACACACGCTACTCCTAAACACTCTTATCTGTTTAGCCAGCCAATTAACGTTAAACCAATGTTTGGACGTAATGCGTGTCTCCTATAAACATGAGTAATGTATTTGCTGTAAAAATAATGATTAGAATGAATTAATCCGTCTGATATGTGTATTATATGGATTTAAATATGTTGTTTTAAGAGATTTTCATAACCCTAGATGCCACAGTTAAAAACAAACACCAGCACGAACCGTTTTGCAATCTCTTAAACAAATAAAATTGCTTTGATTTAAATAACATTTATTTTACATGACCAAACACAATAAATAACGTAATATACAAAGCTTTATAATTATTGCACATTTGTAAAATATCTTACAGTGAGTTCATACAGCCAGCAATATTTAAAGCACAAAGACTTTATTTACAGTTTTATTTTAATATAATAACCAGATCCAATGGACCTAAGATATGATGAATTTATGTTAATTTTACCAACCAGCGTTCTCATCAATCATATATATTTTAGGGGGAAATGTAAACATTATTGCCTAAAGTACCTTATATACATCTGTTAGCTGATCGTAACAAAGGACTTTAACAATCTAAAAAGGTAAAGCTGATAAAGGATACCATATTTTGGTTTTTTCTATTTAGCCTTAAATTATATATTAATATTTTTAAAATGTAAACTCAGTGAATAAGAGCTGGTTTAATCAATATTTTACATAAGTAGTCTCATCTCTTTAAAAAAACAAAAACTTGAGCTTTAAATCATTGCTATTTCATTCAGAAGTTCTCTAATATTTTGTGGGAATATTTTAATAAACCCCAGGAGCTTTGCAACACTGTTTCCCCTTGAAATATTTTCCATTTGATGAAAATAATTTCTCCTGGAAAATGAATTCTTTCAAACATTTACTGAAAGCCTATTTTTAGGAAATGAAATTTTAAAATCCAGTGTCTTTAAAATAACAAAAATATGTCAGGAAGTGAATTTGAAATAAATCACAGAAAATAGTTCCAATGTGTATATATGAATATGTGTGTATCTCTTACATATGTATTTGTTTAAGAGCACGGATATATATATGCATATACATACATATACATATATATACACATACACAAACACATATAGGTAGCATAACTACATTTTAATACACACACACACACACATACCCACTTCGCTGGACCTAAACATGCACTAGCAAGTTATTTTAGGGCTTCAACTCTTCAGAAAATCTCATTATGTGAGGAGCGAAGTGGCTCTGCGGGGAGCATTATGGAAATATCTGGGCTTGATTTAATGAGGCTGTTCACATTGGTGGAATATCAACTTAACAGAGAAAAGTCTACCCAGGGCGTCCAAGTTACCAAAATGAAAATTGGCAATTGAGATGATAAGAACGTGGCTTTCTTCTGCGAAATCACTTCAGGTAACAGAGATAACATTAAATAACATACATTCTATGCACCAAGAACAATGTTTTATGTACCGAGTCTCTTATCCGTCTCTCCTAATGACTTCCCTTAGCGGGTTGTTAGTACTTGACAGCAGGTCTCCGTGCGGGGAACTTTTCTCCAATTCCACATTCAAAGGAGGTCCATCAGAGAGCATGATTGGCAATTTTCGTCATAATCTGCACATTATTAGCATCAAAATTGACGTGGCAGTTAACACTGGTGGGTTTTGATGTACCTTTCTTCAAGTTCAAGGAAACCCCTCCAGTAGCCAGGTTGGCAGAGCGGGTCTCAGCAACCCAGCGGTGGCTTTGCAGAGGCGAAGGCGCAATACACATGCATGAGAAATATGCCAAGAACCATTTCACCCGGGGAAAAGGAAAGCAAGGAGAGAAGGGGGCGAGGGGAATAGAGTTCGAACTTAGAAAAGTGTCTAAGGAAATGCTTCAGAATAATATCATGTATCTAGAGATTCAAGTATTTCCCAGATCGAGTGGAACCCGGTAGTTGGAACACTGAGCTGAAAACGCCTCTCCAAATACTACAGCGATCTATCTTGCCCTCCCCACCCGCCTTCCCTTTCCCTTCGGTTCCCTTCTTTTCCTTGGCCTGGCTGGGTCAAACTTATAAGCCATCACTTTTTGCATAAAATATGCAAGACACTTCCATTCCATCAGCACTGAAACCAAAAACTCAAAGAGAGAACGGTTGGATCGAGCAGGAGTAGGCGCGATGGCCAACCATTCCCACCTCGGCTTTGTCCTTCTCGGGAAAGGCGGCCACAGCCCTCCCCGCCTTGCGCCTGAACGCAGCAAACAATCTCACAAACGCTCCCGCTGCTGCCTGCGCTCTCCATTCGCCCTCCCGGCCTTCACGCTTTCCACAGGCAGGGCCCCTAACAAGCTCAGGCCAAGAGAAAATTTGCCACCTCCTCCCACCCTCGTTTAAAGAATAGAAAGGAAGGATAGAAGTAAAAAAGCAGCAGCAGCAACCTCCGGAGTGACTCCTCCCCCTCCCCCAAGCACCGGCGCACACCGTTCCCCTCTCTTTGTTGTGGTTCTCCGCTGCTTCTGGCCACGCGGTTCAGTCGTGTGACCTGGGCCTGAAAGCGCACAGCCAGGGCTAGAGACCCCAGAGGACTGGTTTGGGAGTGAGGGACATTGTCCTCGGGGAGACCAAGAGCTCAGCACAGAGGAGGAAAGTGGGGCCTGGGCGGCGGGAGACAGAGGGGGAAGAGCAGGAGAGATGGCTGGGTTGCAAATACAAAAATAGAAATAATTTGGGGGGACGCCCGCCAGGCTTTCGCGCCGGCTTCCCCCCCCCCCATTCAGGGCAGTTTCCTTTCAGCCTCCCGCGCCCCGGGGCGCCCCCTGGCGGCAGCGGTAGCAGCGGGCAGCGCGCAGAGGGCGCAGGGGGCGCAGGGGGCGCACAGGGGACTCCCGGGCACACGCAGGCGCGGCCCCTGGCGGTGGCGACGTAGTTATCTGGTGAGGGGAGCCTCGTCCCTCTGGTCTGGCGGGCTCACGGCGGTTTTACTAAGCACGGCAGCCGAGTAAGGCAGGAAGCCGCTCTCTGAGCGCGGTGCCGCGGCGCTGCAGCCAAAGTCTGAACCGCCCGTGGCCCCTGCGCCGCTGCCGCCGCCGCCTCCGCCGCCGCCCCCGCCGCCGCCCCGGGAGCCCAGGGCTGCAGCTGCGGCTGCTGCGGCTGCTGCCGCCGACTGACTGCTGTGGCAACTGAGGCACGAGCAGGGTGCGGAGCCGCCGCTGGGGGGCGCCCCGGCTGCCGCCGCCGAAGAGGCTGCAGCCGCTGCAGCTGCTGCGGCCGCTGCAGCCGAGGCCGCGCTGTTGAGCCCCGCGGCGGCCGCGGGCGCCTGGTAGAGGCCCGGGTGGCGGAAGCTGCACAGCAGCTCCGGCCGCGAGTAGGGGTGCGAGAGGGCGCGGAAGGTATCCAGCGGACGGATGGAAGTGGCGAAGGGCGACGATGCCGCCGCTGCCGCGCCAGAGGCTGCAGCGGCTGCCGCCGCCGCCGTGACGCCCACGTGCGGGTAGTAGTGCAGTGGCACGTGCGAGTGGAAGGGGTAGGGCAGGCTTCCGGTGGCAGCCGCGTGCGTCATCATGTAGGTGTAGAAGCTGGGGTCGGCCGGGTGCGGCCACGACATGGCCAGGCGTTGCCTCTTGTCCTTCATGCGCCGGTTCTGGAACCATACCTGCAGGGAGAGCCGCGCCACGGCCCGAGTTAGGGAGCTCCGGGTGTTCCCGGCCTCCGCCCAGGGCCTCCCCGCCCCTCCTGGACTTCCGAATGGCCTGGTCTACTGCACTCCGATCAAGCCTAGGCCGAGCCCCCTCTGCCCTCCCAGCTGGCAAAGTGTGGACGGCTGTGTGTGGACCAACGTGGGCACACCCTCCGCAGTCTTCTCCCCTGTTTTCGGCTGCGGCTCCAGGAGCCTTTGCTCTCTTACTTGACGCGTTTTCTTGTCCCATCCCCAAGCTATCCTCTCCCTCCCGCCACCCACCGGTGTCGGCCTCGCTGAGCACCCGGCTCTCAATCCCAGGATTTGCTCGGGGATTCTGGGCAGCCTTTGAAGAGAGGCTGCTGTGCAGCTTTTCTGAGAGATCTCTGAGAGAGGTCTTGAGCCCTCCAAGCTGAAAGGAACTGCCCCTAGGGGCATGGGTCCGATTTTTATATTGAAGGGATGATTTTGTTGGAATCGTTCGTCTTAAATGAGTGACGAGAGCAATGTCTACCATAAACTGGGAAGGGGACTTTTCTACCCCTCCCAACAGTATCTAATGAAGACATCATTCGTCACAACTCGAAATTAAAGAAAGCCCGATCAAACCAGAGGGAGACTTCCACACCCCTCCCCTACCCCTGCGGAGTTTTTTCTTTTTCTGCAGTGTCAAGTGCTCCGTGAAGTGTTCAAGTCTCCCAACCTCCTGGCTATCTCTCCCAGACGTATAATAAAATTAATAACTTGAAGTTATATATAAATAAGGACAATTTCTTTGCGTATTCCCCCTCAGGAGGTTGCCCTTTTCCCGTTACCCAAGAGAAAAATGTTTAGGAAACTACTTTCTCAACCCAATCGATTTTTAAGATTACAGTATCCTTTTCTCCATGTAACGATTTATGTGGAAAATAAATCTCCAAGATCAAGAGCAAATGAAGAGTTTTACCTCTGGTTTGTGCTGGAGGAACAAAGACCACCTGGCTCTTTGCTGCCTAGGGGAAAGTGGGGCCCTGGGCATGGGCGAGGGGCATCTGGGCAGGCCCTGGGCACAGTCGAGCAGAGGCGAGCGTTATTCGGCACGGGGCGGCCATTCGGGGGCCCTCTTAGGTCAGCCAGTGCGGCCAACCGTTCGGACTTCCCAGCCGAGAAATAAGTAAGCCAATTCCTTTAGTGACTAAGACCCCGCGGACTTCCAGGCCCATAGCTAAATCTAGCCACCCAGACAGGAGAAAGCGGGGGGAAAAAACCAAATCAACCCAGACGCCCCCGGGGAGGCCAGAGCAGGCGCGCGCTGGAATCGATACCTTGATGGTGGTTTCGGGCAGGTTGAGCGCCGCGGCCAGCTCGCACCGGCGGGGCCGGGACACATAGTTCTCCCGGTAGAACTCCTTCTCCAGGCGCGCGATCTGCTCGCGGGTGAACGCCGTACGGTAGCGCCGCACCTGATCCGCGCCGGAGCCGGAGCTACCCAGCGCCGCGCCCCCGCCGCTGCCGCCGCCGCCTCCATGAAGGCTGCCGAGGCCTGAGCCCGACGCCGACGTCGTGGTGCCCGCGGCCGAGCCGCTCTCTGCGTACCCTGGCAAACAAACGGCCGACAGCGCATGAGTCTCTGTAGGACCGAGGGCCCCGCGCTGGTGGCGCGCGCGGATGTGGGAAGCCGCGTCAAGAAGGAGAGCCGCTGCCGGAATTGATGGGGTCTGTCATGCTTACAAATTGCTGCTGTTAATGGAATCAATAAAGTTTGGGCAGCCCTTCATAATCAAATAATAGAAACTGAATTAGGTAGTTTCTTTTTAAAAAATTAGAAATTTTCAACCAAGGAGGAAAATTGGCGGAGGGAAAATGCCTATCTCGGGCTGCAGTTTGGGAAGCTCTGGGTTTGACCTGGTCTAGAGACCGCAGGGCAGTTTTCTGTACGGCCTCTAACCGCTCTTTGACAACCTTTTGGGTTTGATCAACAATATTTTAAGACTTGCAAGACAGCAACAATCAAACCCGAGCCATTAGGGGGTGAAACCTACTTTCCAACTCTTTCTTCTGGTGACCTAAGCGGGTAGAGCAGAGGCGCCAGGCGAGGCTCCCTCCGACTTACCCAGAAGAATGCCTCCACCACCCAGCCCTGGCTCAGAGGCAGCGGGGTTCAGAGCAGCTGCCCAGGGCACGTTCCCCAAGAGCCACTCAGCTGCTGACTAGGGGTCTGTCGGCTTGCTCCGGCTCTTAGCTCGGAACGCAGAAACATTTTCTCGGATTCAGGAGCGAGGGCGGGCGGGGCCTGCCGTCCCAGTCTCCGCAGGCCTGTGCGCCTCGCTAGAAAGCTCCAGGAGCAGAACCGGAGGGCACGGTCCCTGGCAAGCGTCCCGTCCCCTCCCGAGCCAGCTCGAAGTTGCTTGCTTGTGGAGGGTCGGAGAGGGGCAAGGGCACCAGGAAGGGGCGGCTGGGGCCGAGGAGGAGAAAGGAGGATGGGACTGGAGAGCGCGGCGCCGGCGGCGTGGTTACCTTTGCCATTGTTTTCCTTGAGCGGCGTAGCCCCGAGGCCGCCGGGGGAGCGCAGCGCTGAGCAGCCCACCTCCACGTCGCTGCTCATGTCGGCCTCGGCGGCTGCCTCTGAATAATGGCCTGGCTTCTTACGGCTCTCGGTGACGGAGGCGATTTCGGAGGAGACGGTGCTTTCGCTGCCCGGGTGCTGCAGGTTGAACAAAGTGTCTATTTCGAATTTGCCCTTGGCGGGGAGGTCTCCCAGTGCGCCGTGCAGGGGGGCGGACGGCAGGCGCGGGCTGAGGCGAGCCGGGTGCTGCGAATTTTCCAGGGCCTCGAGCACTGCATTGCCAGCCGAGTCGGACAAGTTGGAGAACCTCTTGCCGGCCGTTGGGCTGTGCAGCCCTCTCTCCATCAGAATCATCTCTTTTCTTATTCTTTCCATCATCTCAGCTTTCTTAAAAATGTCACAGTGGCTCGGCTGTCCCGTCCTAATGATGGGCTGCGCCTAGGGCTAATTCTCATTCAGCCCCAGCGAGCGCCTCTAAATATTATTATCTCTTTCGGAGGGAGGTGGAAAAATTGTGGGATGCCAGAGCGAGGGAATGACTGGTCAAAATGACCCATACATCCTTCCGAGCTCGAGATGTCATTCATCAAAAAGTAGCGCCCGCTCGTCATTAAGGTACGAATGACGCCGTTCGAATAATCATTTATTGTAACAGGTTTATAAGCAAATAAATACACGCTCCTGTCAGTGGGTAATGAAGGCGGCTTCGGAGCAGACAAATAGATCCAGGTAGGAGGCGAGAAGAGACAAGTGAGGAGGAAGGCTCCGGTCCTTTGCCCGCTCAGAGCCAGTTCTGCTCGCCCGGGGGTTTGGCCTCGGGGGTGAAATTGACAGTCTGATTAATAGAGCGCGCCGCGGCACATTTCCCCCTTCATTTAGGGGCATCATTACGCTCTCAGTTTGCTGGGTTGCCCCTTAGGTCCTAATCATGCAGCTCCTTCCTCATTTTTCCTCGGACATAGATACGTGTTAAATAATAGATAATGCTTTGACTTTCCAGAGTGGATCCTCGGGAAGGTTTTTTTTTTTTTTTTAACATTTACGAGCTGGGGGCGTAAATGGGGGGGACAAGGGGGAGGATGCAGGAAGAGTTGCGTAAGGAGAAGACCTTGCGCCGCTCCTGTCTGCATTACTTATCTTTTGGATTTCAGAACCAAATATGTATTTTATTTACCAAATAGGACACCGAGTTCTCTTCCTCCCTACTTCTTCGCTTCAGCGTGGATGCTCTCCTCCCACCCCAGGAGAGAGAGAGAGAGAGAGAGAGAGAGAGAGAGAGAGAGAGAGAGAGAATGAATCTCCTAGAGTTTTGAAAGTGCTTTCTTGCTACGTGGCCGGGGAGGTGCGTTGGGCCCGCGCCTCCAAACGGAAATCATTAGGTCCTCTCTCATTTTCTAACACCGTTTGCAGAGTGAGTTCTTAACTTGAAGTCCCCTGTTTTTTACTTTTATAATCCTGCTGATGGATAGGTTTCTCGCCTACGCATTTCCCCGGGGGTGAGGGGGAATGAACTAGGTTGGACGATTATGATCGCAGAATTCGACTGCTAACTTTAAACATAGTCACGATTTACAGCGCCTTACGGGCCGCTCTGAATCCACTTTTACATTGCCAACTTTTCCCCTCCCTCCTCAAACAGAATTATTTGTGGCAAAGCCGTCAGATTTCAAAGTCAAAGGAGGAAAAAGGAGATACTCTGCTTCCCCTTTGATCTGGCTGCCCTCCCTTTCCCACTTTGCCTTTCTTCCTTCTCTCTTCCCTCCCCTCCTCGATCCCAGTCCCTTACCTGTGGCCACAGGTATTCCCAGCGCTGAATCCGAGCGTGGAGAGTCGCCAACCAGCCTTGCCGAAGCTCCTTGAGGCCTGAGTTTGGCGGCTGAGCCTCTTGGCGATAAGTTTGATAGTCATAATGACGCCGATGGCAACCATTTTAACGAAGATCAATCTTCACTCAAGGCCTCTCCTCATCTCCTCCCCTGGCTGTACCCCACCCTGCCCAGACCCCAGAAGCACTGTGCTCGCTGACCAGCCTGCAGCCCAAGGGAGAAGAGATCCGCGGACACTGGCAGGACGAGAGGACAGGGACGGGACGCAGAGATCCGCCCGTGAGCTGAAGCCGGCGAGAGACCCTTGCAATCTGGGCGCCGGGCGCGGGTCCTGCATCCCCGCTTTAACGCCAACCCAGACCCCAACCAGGGCCCCCTCCTCTCCTCCTTCCTGACACACCCAGCACATCGGGGTGTGTTGGGAGCAAATCCGAGATCTATTTGCCCGTGTCTGTTGGCGCTTTCCTTTTAACCTTGGACCCGTTGGGGGCGCGTCAGGAATGTAAGGGGAGGTGAGGTGTGAAGTATATTTATATACATATATACACACATATAGTCAATGCCAGAAGTTTCTCTCCTGTTACCCTCGGCGCCAACTTATTCCAACAGCTCAAGCTTTGCGTAGAAAATCAATTCCACCTCTTTAAGGGAATAAACGGAAAGCTCAATAGGCAAGCAGTGCCTGGAGGCGGAGGATGGCGGCAGGGAACGCACAGTGGGCGTCTGGCATAGGGACTAGGACAACGTCCACCTCCGCCCCTGCCCCAGCGGTCACCCAGCCCTGAGCACTCTGCGTTCTCCTCGCGAGGCTTTCTGGCCATTAGCGCGGCGGGGGCCTGGGCCCGCGAACGGCCCCACCTGCTCCCTCCCTACTCCGCAGCCCTGACGCCCCTGCTCCACCACTCCTGCAGTCGCTGCCCCAGTGACCCAGGAAGGATCCCCTACCCAGTCCCCACTGGCTCAGAGGACTGATGGACACCTTGGTCCAGGCTTGAGTCTGTGGGGGACTCGGGGTTGGGGAGGAGGCAGAGGAAGGCCCTGGCGGGACTGCGCGGGTGCTGGTGAGCGGAGATGCTGCCCGGGCGGAAATTCGTGGATGCCTTTATTGCTGTCGTTTGGCGCCCCCATCTGTTTTCCTCGCGCTTTCGGCGGCTGTGAGTTGCTTTTCAATCGCGGAAGCCGCCTCTGGGGGCTGGGGTGAGGATGTCAACCCCTTCCTCCATCACCCAGCCCGCGGGCCTCCCCATCTTCCCTTCCTCTAGGACATGGCGCCTCTGGTCCCAACGGCCGAGCAAAACCGGACCTCAGTCTTTTGAAAAGGGAGAACACCGTTCCTCCGCCGACACCTTCATTCATTAGTGACTTTAAAAACTATTTCACACCTTTTAAATAACATGAACATTGCATTTCTAGTAGGTTTATTACAAAAAACACATCCGAGACCATGTCAGCGAAAGCACTCAGTATAAGACACCTATAATTTTGCACTAAACTGCGTTTGCGGACAATAATGTTTCAGGAGGCACAGTGAGAATTCCTGTCCCTAAATGTCCCTAAATTTACGTAGATTAGGCACCTAGTAGCAGTAGTAGTATTGACTGACTTATATGAAGCTATTAATGTGCAATTCCAGGTACTTTTTGTGTTTGCATCTAAAGCCACAGCACCTCTATGGGATAGATTCTATTATCCCTACTCCAGAAATGATAAACCTTCCACATAGAGATTTGCTCTTGATTTAGACTTATCTCTGATAATATACCTGTCCGAAGGTAGTTAAAAGCCTTGGGCAGCATTTTTATTTTTCTCATTTTGCACGTCTTATTTAAAAACAGGCCTACCTCAAAAACATTGAGCCTTCCAGTGAGAAGATGAACGCAGTTCTGTTGATGTTTATTCCTGTAATACCCAAATTTGTGCCTCTCCCAAACTGTGGAGGTTGAGTCTGGAAAGGAGCCTGTCCAATATTCCCAATTTTTAGACGCAGCCTCTGGGGCTGTCAAAGCCTCCTACCCAGGCTACTCCTACCTCCTACTGCGAAGGTACAGGACCCACTCAATAAAACAAGAAAAAAATTCAACCGACGTCCGTGTGGCTTGGCAGAAATTTTTCAAATGGGGTGGCGGGTGCGGGAGTGGGGCCTGCGGGAAGAATTTTCTCCATACCGACTGAAAAGCACCTTTTGCTAGAAAGTTGAAATTACATGAAAGAGGCCTAATTTTTTTGTTAGGCCTCCAGACTAAATATTTGTTTCTAGAGTAGTGGCAGGTCCTCTGAGGTGAAGTGGTAAACACTTTGGGTCTGGGACTACAGGTAATAAAAATCTGTCCCCGCTCACGAGGGGAGGGGGCAAAGCCTGAGCTGTAGTGGAGCTCCGGGCTGCCAGGCCTGGCTCTCTTCCTCACGGAGGGCCCCAGGCAGCTGGGGCCAAATAATTGAGGACACGCATCAGGACATATGCTCACTCCAGAATGGGAGCTGCAAGATGTGGCGGAACAGCAGGACCCCCAGAGCCTGGGCTGCCAGCCCCAGTCACGTTTTCTTTAGGCTAAGCGCGGTTTCCAAGGAAGAAGGTTTCGGTTTATAAGGGAAGACGCGGTTTGGCGACTCCAGGCCTGACTTCGCAGTGGCAACTTCATGTTCCCTTTCCTCCCCAGGCCCATTTCTATCTCTCTGTCTCACCTGGGTCTCTCTGGCAGCTTCTGTCTCTTTTTCCTCTCCCCAGTCAATCCCATGCCCCACCGGGGACTGTCATGGGTGGGGCTTGGGTGGCTACTTTCTCCTGGACTCTAGGGCTATGCAGACCGGTCGCCTGCCTGGAGCTTGTGCGCCCTCAGACGCGACGGGAAAACTTGCAGGGACATCTAGCGCCAGGCGTGGGGAATTGCGCGGCGCCAAAGTGGAAAGCCCTGCTGAACACTAGCCCTTCCGCCTCCCTCTTGGCGCCCCCTTCATTCTTCGGCATTCTCCTAACCTTCATCCCTTTGCCCTGCTGGTGAGAACATTGTGGATTCCCCACGGAAACAGCAGGCTGTTTGAGGTGGGAATAGGCAAGTAGACAGGCTTATTTTCTTTTATCTCAAACTGGCCCGCAGAGTGAGCAATTACTGGCAATTATTTGTATTACTTACAAGTTAATAGTTTTGCTAGAGAAGTGTATTCTAACCCCACACCTTGAGATGTCCGATAAAACTGCAAAAAAAAAAAAAAAATGCGATCCCAGCTTTTATTTTGCAAAAAAGGCAACTAGCTACCTGAGTCCTCAGGCCGTGCCCCCCCAACCCTCCAGCACCCCTTTCACAGTGAGATTAGTGCTTCTCTTCAAGGGAAGAACCTCCCTATATTCAGTTCTTTCCAAGGCCATCCCAAACAAGGACCCACTGTCCTGGCTGTCCTGCCAGAGGCAAATCTGGATCCACCAAATAATGCTTCAGGTGGGAAAGGGTCTAGGGTTTTTGTTGTTGTTGTTGTTGCAAACGATTTTCACTTAATAAAGCCTAATTGTTTTGTTAAACCCAAACAGAACGTATCACAGACATAAAAAGTGCACTAACGCAGGACTCCACTGTGGGCTGTTGCTAGAATCCTCTTTCTTCACCCCAGGTTTGGCTTGTTGTTGTTGTTCTTTTGATACTTCCAGCACAAGTCAAACTGAGTATTTCTTGGAGAGGGAAAATTAGCTCCAAAGTTGGCAGGACACAAACTTGGTTAAGAATGCCCTCAGTTCCACTGGACTTAAAAAAAAAAATCTTTACCTTGGAAGTAAGACACTTTCTACACTGACTCTTTGGCTTCTTACAAGTTAATTAGGAGGGTGTCCTGCATTTCCTGGTTGTGCCCATGAAGACAAATGCTTTCAAAGGAGTCCTGAGGACCCCACTCTGGTAGAACCCTGTCTTCCTACCCTTAATGGCCACTGATTATGTGCTTAATTGAGTTCCTTGCTATCTTGGCAAGCAAAGCAGCTTCAATAAATCTAAATTGCAGCCTCTATCTCCTCATTCCCCAACCCAAGATAGGAGCATAATTTTAAAGATTCTACACAGAAGAAAAGAGAGGATGTGACTTCCAGAACAGCATTCAGAAAAGGGGTGCTCATGGAGGGAAAGGAGGGAGATGAGCAAGTGATGAGTAAAGTGGGATTTGGGGCAACAAAGGGCCATCCCGAGCCTTTCACCAAAATTAGGAGCAGTGGCAAAACTGAGTTTGACAAAAGAATGAAGAGTGTTTGGAGACATTTGCAGTCTCAAAAGTTTTTCATTTAACAAAGTTTATTTCTGTTGTTAAGGCCCTAACATGATACACCAACACACAAACACAAGGTTCAGTCTGTGTCACTGACCAGCTAAAAATATGGTTCCCTATTAAGTTTAAGCCTGGATAAATTTTTTCTGCAAATTCAGCTTCAAAATTTCTCCCCTACTTAGTATCCTCAGCTTAAAAATTACATGTATCATTGGTTGGTAAACAAAGCAGTCCTGACTTTGCCCGGTACTCAATCACAGCCCTACCATCCAATAGCAGTACCTGCCCTAGGGTGCTGGGTTTAGGGACTCATGTGGACCAAGTCAGAGCCTCTTTTTTAATGGTAACTCCTTTCCACAAGGCTAGGACCTCAAAGCCTATGCTGGAAGCCGGTTTGACTGCAGGTTATCAGGAGGTAAAGCTCCTGATTCAAAACCTCCCTGGCTTCTGAATACCCATTGGGATGGGCACAGAAACCCCATGTCCTGCGAAGGTGCCACAGGACATTTGGAAGTGCAGCCACCATTGAGAAATCTCTTTCAATCTGAGCATTAATTCAGATTTTCCTTCCACTCCTGCACAACTTAATTTGCTGCATGGAAAAATAAGCCAAAAGCAACGGAATGACAGAAATCAACAAAATGACAAAGTTTTTCTTCCTATCTTAATTTCACTTTCTTCATTCTTAAACATGTAACCATTAAAATGTGTTTATCAGATAGCAAATGCATCAGAAGTCCAAGGGCACAAAACCATAGGGATATTTACTTTTAAGAGACTGAAAGTTCGTTAGTTCCAGTTATGTCTTAGGAGTATTTCATCGAATTTGGTTTTTTGGGGTCATAGAAAAAATTTAAAACTATCTCCATGTCTTCCCTCTTTGGGAAAAAAAAAAAGAGAGAGAGACAAAGGAAAAAATGAAAGTGTTACTGGGTGGCCCATGGTTGGTGGTTTGGTACCAAAATTGTTTGGTAAAGACCCAGCCAAACCCTTTTTAAAAGTTAGCAACTCTGTCGCCTGGCCCTAGTTGGCCTTTTAAAATTGCCGATCCAGCTTCTGTTGCTAACTTTTGCTTTCTTCTCCCAAATAGTGAAAAAAAAAAAATTGTTCTCATCAGCAAACTTCTATTCCCTATGATTTCCTGCAAAACTCAGGCCCCTCCCATCTTGAATCTGATCATGAGTATGTCTAGGACTTCAAAAAGGTCAAATTCTCTTGCTTTTCCTTTGCAACACCCCTCTCATAACTTCTCCCTTTATTTGAGCCTTTTATGGTTACTGCATTTTGCATGTCAACACTCCGAACACCGACAGCCCACCCTGAAGTGCCAGGCCAGGCCAAAGAGGGCCTCCCTGGCTCTCTTCTTCACCCACTCAGGGATTGTCTTTGGTCAGGGAACAGCCGGGCTGGGTGACAAGTCGTTTTCCCAATGACAGGCTTAGGGGAGCAATTTTCTTGGAGATGGGCTGGGCTGGGGAGTCAATGCCACAGAACCAAATGGGCTCACTCTGAGGGATCTCACACACACACACACCCAGCACCGTTGACTCATTGGATCTAATATTGCTTCGAAGGCACAGCTTTAATTTCACTGCAGGACTCACCACACTGGTGCCCCAATTACTAAGATGGAGGGATGAGGACTGCAGTTCTGAGGCTGAGAATGAAGAAAGGAAGAGGAATGGGGCTGTGATCCCTAACACCCTGGCAGCAGGGCCCCAGAGCTGGGCCTAACTTCACCAGTACTACCCCAGCCCATCTACCCCTCTGAAGTCAGACCCAGTTTCTCCGTGCTGTTCCTATCACAAGCCCC